TCTACTGCGATCCAAAAGGTTTAGGCTTTTTTTTTTTTTTTAATTAAACCATCAGGCCTTTCTTCCTAGATTTAGCCTGGAATCCCTGCTGGGGGGGTGGGGGCGGCCCCCACCAGCCTCCAGTACCAGAGCAGAAGGCAACTACTGGGCGTGAGCATGGAGGAAAGATGTGATTTGGGAGTCAGAATGTCAACTGTGGCCCAACTCGGTGGTCCTCAACCTTCAATTATGGCATCGGAATCACCTGCAGTTTTGTTCAGAGTCGCACAGCATCATGGTTACGAGTTAGACTGCTGACCCCAAGGTCAACAGGGCGAAACCACCAGCCAGCTGCTCTGCTGGAGAAATACAGGGCTTTCTACTCCCATAATGAGGGCCAGCCCTCCCATAGTACAGGGTCGCTCAGAGTCGGCATCACCACTGGGCATCAAGTTTGATTTGGTTGGTTTTGTTCAAACAAAGCTTGATAGGTTCCTCCCCCAGAGTGTGACCTGGTTGATCTTTCTACATTTGCATTTCTAACAGGTTCCCAGGTGAGGCGGATCTGCCGTCCACCAGCCACACCTGAGAACACTAGGCTCCCAGGTCTCCGATGTTGGTCAGGATGCTCACCCTCAGTGAGCCTTGGTTTCCACGTTTGCAAGGTGAAAAGCTGGCTAATTCTCTGGCAGGCTGTTCCACCATCTATGTGCCGATAGATCATTCAACAAGCCCTTCCAAAAGCGCACATGCTCATGTTACATTATCATCAGCAGATTGGTTAATTTGCTACAATGCTGACAGACCGACCTAAAAAGAGGTCCATTTGTTCTTTTGGGAGCTGCTATAGCTGTATTCTTTACCAGGGACTCCCATTCAGTTCCCAATGTAGTCAGTTTTAAATGGGTCCTGGGACATGGATACAGCATTATGAATCGTATTCATTCAAGTTAGGGCTAAGAGAATCCACCCAAGCACAACTTTTTTTTTTAAGTTCTAGTCCCAAAATTGATTTGGGGGGGGGAAAAAAGTAGAGTGCCTGCTATGTGAGAGGCACTATGCTAAGGTTATGGATGTGAACATGAATGTCTACCCTGAGGCACCAGGGGAAAACGACAGGAACTTTACTTTGTAAAGAAATCTGCTCTCGAAACCCTGCGGGGCCCTGGTAAGTGGGTTGAGATGGCCTGTGAAAGAGGAGGCTTTCTGCTCCAGTAAGGAGTTAGTGTCTCAGCAACCCACAGCGGGAGTTCAACTCAAAAATATTTAGCAAAGAAAAAATTACATGCTAAATTGAAAATATCAACTTAATGCGAAAGCAGGCAGCAAAAGAGGATTCGAATAATTAAACAACCTGAAGCGTATTGCTTCACACTGATAAAAAGAAATAAATTTAACTTTTTAGGATGGTGGAGATATTCTGTCTTGTGCATGGTGGTAGGTCTACAAACCATACGCATTGTCAAAGCTTATCAAACTATCGTCTTAAAAAGGATGAATTTATTTACCTCCATAAACCTGAATTTTTTTAAAATGTACTTTTCTCAAGTCAAACGGCCTTGTTTCCCGAGAAATATGGGCACTACAGAGTCCCTCTAAACACTTGTATTTTGCTGTGCACTGGGGAAAGTGGAGTGACTCCAGTTTTACTTACAGAGACAGTGATAATAAACGCTAACCTGCCGCCTTTATTGTCAGGGCCACTTCTTTTTTAAAGGCAAAATTCTTTGTATTTTTAAATTAATCCTTTTATTGGGAACTCTTACAGATATTATAACAACCCAGCGGTTCTCAACCTTCCTCCTGCCGCAACCCTTTCATACAGTTCCTCATGTGGTCGTGACCCCCAACCATAAAATTATTTTCATTGTTATGAATCGGGCGACCCCGGGTTGCAAAACCCAGGTTGAGAACTGCTGCCCTGGGGTCACTGTGAGCCTGAATCAACTCAATGGCAGGTTTTGTTTTATTGAAAACCTTACGGCACAGTTCTACTCTGACACTCACGAAAGTCACATGTCAGAATCAATCCAAGGGCAATGGGTAGGGGCTGGGGGCTGGAGGACTGGCAAACAAGGCCCCAGCTCTCCTGTGAGGGTGGAGAATGGGGCTCGAACAAAACCAGGTACAAATATACGCACTCAAGCTGCGCTAGAGAAGAGTAACTGAGTAGTTGTCTGACCAGGAACCTCAAGGACTGCTTCCTGAGGGCACAGGGCCTGAACTCTGAAGGATCAGGAGAAATGGAGGAATTTTCCAGGCAGAGCAAACAGGAAGTGCAAAGATGTTATGGATGAAAGTGGGTAGAATAAAAAAATTTTTCATCTGATTGTAGCTGAGATGAGGAAATGTGTGTTATAGGACAGACATAAAAGAGAGAACGGGTGGGGCCTACTAGGCTTGGAGGAGCGTTAACTTAGGCTAGGGCAGAGCCACACTTTGAAAAGCTCCTGCTTGGGAAATGGCTTGGAGAGGACCCCCAGTGGAAGTAACAAGGGCAAAGCCAAAGCTATGGTGAACTTGATGCAGAATTTCTGGTAATCTTGCCCGGGACTGGTTCCCGTGTCTCCTCCCGGAAGAATGGAGGCATTGCAGCTCAGCCAGGGTGGGACAAGCCAGGAAAACCTGCAGCTGTCCACTCCAGGCTGCCCTCAATGGGCTGGGCAGGAGGGCCCCAGGATCCTGGGGTGTAGCGGCCCAGCCAATATGAACTCACTCTGGGCACTGAGGGAAATGCAGGCCTGGAAGTTTAACGGGCAGGAAGGGCCAGGGAAATGTTTTCCTTGCTCAACTTTTAGCTAAGTGCTGGAGGGCAGTAAAGCCTTGGCTTTCTCAGAGCTCAAGACCTTGATGCAACAACAAGAAGGAAGAGGTGGCTTCAAAGGGTTTGGGGAAAATGCTATGCTCTCCAAATCCCATTTCCCCAACAAGTTCGGAAGCCCCTGCACACTGGAGGAGCTGGTTTCCAAGACTCCCCCGCAGCCCTACACACGCCCACCTCCCCCCCTCCTCCAGCAGGTGATGCCCTGGGGTACAAAATACCAGGCCATGCAGAGCTCGGTGTTCACGAAGAGCTGCGCTCCTTCCAACTGGAAGAGAAGGCCTTGGACAGTCAGTCTGAGGCCGTGATGTGCTGGTGCTGCCAGTGGCCTGTGCCTTCCGGAAGGCAAGCCCTTCTTCCTAAACTGTATGCTGCAGGACTTGTACTGGGGGGACTTGGAAGAACCATTAACAGGATTTCATGGCAGGGAGGTTCCAACCCAGAACCACTGGGATTCAGATCCAGAGCAACGCTCTCACCATGGGGAAGCCAGACGGGAAGGCAGCTGCAGTTAGTCTCACGGAGACTACCCAGGGGCGCTTTGACAGCCGGTCCGCTGTGAAAGACTGCTACCTACCATCTTTGCTCGAAGCACCATGACTAGTTCTGTTCGGATCTATAGTTTGTCCCAGAGCCTTCAGGAAGATGATCTTCAACAGTGGCAGCGCTTCACAGACCATGGTCGTCAATGGATGAAGTTTCTCAGGACACTTTGCAGACACTTAAGCTTTTGGTTTAAAACTGGTGTTTTCCTTACAACTACAGACTATGGTGGGGATGGCGTTTTGGGACAGCATCTCCAGGTGAAGGAAACATCCACACATCTGCAGGTGACGGACATTTGGAATAATCGAAATCACACCCACTCACGCTTTTCCATTGTCAACTGTTTTCTCCTGCCACATACCTGGGACTCCAGGTGGCCACCAGTCTGGGCTTCGACAGGAAGCAGAGCTATTGCCAGTGTGTAGTAACCCAGCTTAGCATGAGGAACTCCATTTTGTTTTAAACTGCCTCCAAGCCCCTGCTAGCGGCCTCTTCTTTCCCTCCCCGCTCCGACCTTGTCTCTCGAGATGTCTCTGCACTCTGCCCACCCAATTAGCAAGAAACGTAAACGATCCTGTTAAGACCTTGAGTCATTACCTGCAGCTGTGCTGTTCCCCTTTGACATCCTTCACACCTGAAACTAAACCCACTCCCTGCAAAGGTGACTCACCTTGCCGCCAAACTGCAGACAGGCCTATCAAGTGGACAGCATAGCCCACGAGGAACGTGCTCCTTAGAACAAATGACCATGCAAAACCCAAAGGGTCAGCCCTTGTCCCCAACACGAAACTCCGGAGGCAGAAAGGGCTGAGACAGCAGAGAGAGACACTGGGACTCCACGGAGGAAGAAGGATGTGTGGTGGCCCACGGAGGGGACTGCCACCAAGTCACAAAACAAAATGTGAATACACTGCTAAATGGAAAACTGGTTTGCCTGTCCATTGTCACCCAAGCCACAGTAAGATAAAAATCAGGTGAATTATTCAAGAATCCTAGAGTTGAGAATGCAAATGAAGATGAAAATAAAATTACAAATGCAAATAGAGATGAGCACTGGGTGAGAGAGACCAACAGCAAACGTGAGATGGAAGGGTACATAGTACGCCCGTAGACCCATTCACAGGACCAAACACGACACACACAGTGTGCTGCACACGGACCGCACATTCCTCCCCTCAGAACCAGAACAGAGCCGACGCTCCCAGAACATGCGCACCTAGAAAGTAGAGCGCAACAAACAGAAGTCAGTGTTCCCTCAGACACCTTCATGGTGGAAAGTCTGACAATTCATTCCCCTGGGCAGGCTCGTCTTGGCTGGCCCAGCTCTCAGCCAGCAGCCTGAAGCTAAGCCCTGGCAACGACATGGCAACTCTCAAGCAGACCTGTTCTAAAGACAACCCGTGCACGGTGGGCGTGGGGGTGTGGGTGGGGTTGGGGGGACACAGGCTGGGCAGGCAGGGACAGGCCCCCTAGCACTCCTGGCAGAGTTTCCAAAGCTGCTTCCGGTGACCCTAAGTATGTTACCTTTCTCAGCCCCCTCCTCTCACACTGCTCTGCAGCCACTTCCCCGTTCCCTGGAGGCCGGCTCCTCCTTTCGCCAGCTTCCGCCTCTCTCCCTCCCACCTCTCCCTGCCACCCGATGCAGGGTTCTCACCCATAGGACTGCCAGTCTTCCAATCTCTTATCCCCAGGGCTGCTGTCTCCACCTGACCTGGGACAAGGATCGAGGGGAAGAGTTTACCCTTTCTCTGAGAGTAGAGTGTCTGCTCACAAAGTTCCCATGAGGCACTGCGCCTCCTGGGCTTTCATTGGCCCACCCCCAGGCCACTGAAGCTCAGTTAGCGTCAGCTCCCAGGTGATCCCCTTAGCTGGATAGCCTTTACCCCTTGGCCTCAGGTGTGGTCCCACTCAAAGAACCAGGCGCAAAAGGCCAAACCGTCTCCACATGGAGGGGATCCACACCCGGATCCACACCCACACCACGGAATGTAATTCAACCATAAAGAGAAACGAGGCCCTGGAACCTACACCACCATGGATGGATTGAGAAACTGTAGACTGGGTGACATAGGTCAGATTCAGGACAAATCGTGCATGAGCCTGGTTCTAGGAAATACCTACACTAGACCAAACTTTCTATTAGTGGTTACCAGAAGCAGATCCGAGAGGATAATGGGGACGTGTTACTTTAGGGGTACTGAGGTCCTGTGACGTGCGATAAAAAAGTTGGAAATGAATAGTGCTAATGATTCCACAACGTGGTGAACATAATCTCATTGACTGGGTCACATAAAAATGGCCGAAACAGCCACTGTTTTGCTACATAGAATTTACCACCCTAATTTCTTTAATGAAAAGGGAGGCAGTTGAGTGCTAACGGAGTGTCAGTTAAAACAATAATGAACACGTCTTATTTGTGACCAGACACAGATCTCTGGATGGTTCCCATTTTGAGGGCTTCTCAAGACCCTAATTTTATTGTCAAGCAAATCAGTTCTTATTGAGACAGCACACCCGAGAGGGAAATAACTACTCTTGAAAGCAATTATTGTGCAACTCCACCAGCTGCTTTCCAATACTCGCGTTCCAATTTTATTGGGAGTTGTGGAAAGACTAAGGAACCCTGGTGGCGCATGGGCTCAAAGTTTAGCTGCCAACCACAAAGTTGATGGTTTGAACCCACACAGTGGCTCTGCAGGAGAGAGACCTGAAGGTTTGCTTCCTTAAGAGGCAGTTCTACTCTGTCCTAAAGGGTCGCTATGAGTGGGCATCAAATGGACAGCCCTTTCAACAACAGAGGAGAAATTATTGACTTGAATTCAAGATCTTCCACGGATTAACTGGTATTTGGAAATCAAGTGTGACAGAAAGAGCTTAGTGGCCCACCAAAATATCTATTTTCTCTTCTCTCTCAAAAAACAAAACAAAATTTCTTTTTTTAAGCTGGGAACAGCACACTCTCAGAACATATTCTCCAACCTGTATTCCATCTAGATATACCGTCTGTGGCCTTCTAAATTCCAGTTAGAAGAGGTGACGCACGACACTTCTGTTGCCCTCCACCTGCTCTCTCAAAGTTGGATGTGCTGGCTGGAAATCTCCACGTCCGCTTGCACGAGGAAAGTACGGCCACCCTCCAGTGACGGGAGACCAGAAAGCTGGACAAAGGGGATGTGCTATCTGGGCTCCAACCCTGAGACATTTCCACAACTTTCCAGGGGATGGAAAACACAAGCCGCCCCTTTGAATCACCTGGAGATGGTATACTGCCCAATCCCCGGTGTGCACTCTGACCAACTGAACCGCTGAGGTGAGCCTTTAAAGCTCTCCAGGTGGTTGTCCTGGCAGCCAGGTTGGGGACCCGGTGGTTGAAACCCTCTTGACACAGATTGTTCTGGAGAAGGATGGTGCTTGGTCAGTAAAAAAGGCGATGACCCTCACAGGATGAACTCACCCCGGCGGCTGCAACAAGGAGCTGAAACATAAGAAATGGTTGTAATGATGGTGCAGGGCAGGGCTGTATTTTGTTCAGTTATACTTTTGACTGTTGACAGTCACTGTATCCGATCCAACTTGATGGCACCCAACATTAGTCACAACGGAACACGATTCCGAATGAACGAACATACCGTGCCATTTCATTCATCTCCCGGTACCCCATCCCTTCAGAAGTATGCCCCGCCCACCCCACTGCCATGGCATCAATTCGGACTCATGGCACTACCGAGTGATCCAGAGGAGAACTACTCCACAAGGATGTCTGAGCTGTAATCTTCATGCGAGCAGATCCCCAGGCCTCTCTTCCAGGGGGCACATTTTAAGCAGTAGTGGAACATGAACCTCTCCGCTCCCTGCAGCTCTATGGAAATCTTTAAAACAGGATGACAACACTCAATACTTGCAAAAGTTTTAGCAACCCTATCACACACTAGATGCTGAACATGCACTGGTAAATAGGCCATGCTTCCAGACCCCCCAGAAATTTGCAAGTTTTCTGAAAAGCTCATGGATGATCAAAAGCACAGAGCTGTATTACTAACTAGCCATTGTTTGGGGGAATGACAACGCAGGGCCCATGAGAAGTAGAGTGAGATGAAATCATATCACTCTATTAAATGAGCGTTAACAACAAACACATTTCTAAATCCTTGTTTTAGTGAAGAATTTAGGAATTAATTGCTGAGGCTAACTTAAGCGGTCTGCTCTTACACACACCCCACTAAAAATGATGCTTAAGATAGTCTACATTTTTCATTTCCAATAACGAGAAATTCAAACTCCATGATGGAAGCGTGAATGAAGCGCTCAGCACAGAATACAGCTTTACAAACACGGACTGCCTTTTGATGCTCACGCGATTGACTGCCAGCTCGCTACACACACTGTAGAGGGAGAGGGCTGAGGTTTTGTGTCACTTTTCAGGTTGTTGGGCTGCTAACCTCAAGGTATGCAGATCAAATTTACCAACTGCTCCTCCAGAGAAAGACGAGACGTTCTACTCCTATAAACAGTTACAGTCTGAGAAATCCATAAGGGCAGTTCTACCCTGACCTCTATGGTCGCTATGAGTCGGACTGACTCGATGGCAGCGAGTCTGGAGGTATACATGGAAGCACAGCGCTCCCACATCCCAGAGGATCTAATGAAAAGAGAACTACTTTTATTTTCTGCAAGGGCTGACCCTACTGCTTTACAAGATAGGGATTTGGGATCACTGATTTCGCTCAGGACAAGGTGGAGAACCTATCCTCTTTCTAGCCCTTCAGAATCCAATCTGAGAATGTCAGAGAAGACAACAGGAGCTGAGGGTTGAGTGATCCTTGCAGCACAGACGTGGTTGGGGTCTCAAGTGCAAGGACAGTTTGAGGTTGAAAAGTGTGCAGGAGCACCGATGAGGGAGGGAGTCCCGAAAAGTCTGCACCAGCAGGGGCAGAGTGGCGGAACCACCTGCTGGAAGGACTTGTTTAGCTCTCAGGGCTCAGGTGAGTCTCCAGCAGTTGGAACATGTAGGATGGGCCGGCCAGGTCAGGACTGTCCCGTCCTCCTCTCCTCCCCAACTCTCCACCACGCAACCTCCAGGCAGTTCACAATCACTGAGGTCAAAGTCCCTGGGGTCAACATCCTCTGGAAATCCTGGCTGGGAGAAGAGGCGGGAGCGAAGGAACCCAGGCTGCACTTCAACCCACAGACTCCCCTCCCCGCTTCAAGCTATCTCACTGCCAAGCACACGTGAGCAATCACACCTCCCACAAGGAAGGCAGCACACCTGCTGAACATCACACGGTCACAAAAGGTGTGTGCTGTGGAAGAAAGGAACTACAGCAGAACCCCAGACCTCAACACCGACACTAATCCGTTCTAGAAGGAGTATCAGGATGCCATGCAGTCAAATTCTGAATCAATTTTTCCCTTAAGAAATAACTGAAAATGGATTACTCCGTTCTCACCTACCACGTTTTTACCTTAATCTTGGCTTTTTATATAAAACATTACACAGAAATTTCAAAGTTAATAAGTTCAAAATTAAGTTATATAATTTAAGTAAGAAACACAACATTTAAAAAGCTTTTAACAGTTACAGTATGGCCCATACCTTGGGATTGATGAGGATCTGGATCTGTGGACACGGATGTGAGAGGAGGGATGGAGAGAGAGTCATTGTTTGGAAGGGGAATCCCCTTCCATCAAATCAATTGGTAGCTGCTTTTCGGTTTTTTTTTCCCCCCCTTCTTTGCCTTTTTTCACTAGGACCTGGCTGACT